TACCAATTAGTTCACCCATGGTGACCAAGTGCCAGGGAACGGATTCATTGTATGCAAAATCACAAATCCTACTAAATTTCTTCCGGAGCAAGTGGAGATGTGGAGTGAGACCCTTGGTCTGAGTGTTGTAGGCTCTGACTCTAGGATATGGAACCTGGCCTAGAAGCAGGTGCTGCTATGGGCTGTGGCTGCAGGTCAGGCAGGAAGGGGAATCACAGACTGTACCCTGGGCAAGGGCAGACTAGAAAACCAGGCACAATTTTAAATGTCAAGTTAACCTCAAACAGGCTGAAAGGCAATAACTATATCTGAAGGGAATAGAAAGGTTGGAAAAAATGAATTTTAGAAATGGAGTTCAACAATGTTCTTTGAAAGAAAGAATAGTTGGCAGATAATAAGAAGGGAGTTTTATAAGGGCTCAGAATCAGGTTGGCATTAGCAAACTGATTTTAAGCCAGAATTCTGGCTTATTCTGCAATGGAAAAAAAAATCACTTTGCCTGAGGACTGTGACCAGCTTAATTGTATGGACGTTTCCTGGAGAATAGAATCACCTAAGAGATTCGATTACACATGAGAAAGTTGTCCAGTAAAAGTAGATTGAGAGTGCAAACAATGAATCATGGAACACTACATCAAAAACTAATGATGTAATGTATGGTCATTAACATAACATAATAAAAAAAAGTGAAAAAAAAAAGCGTGAAGGGTTTTTATCATTCAAGCAATTCTTGGTCAATTGCTTATTCCTATGCTGGCAACATTACTTTAGAGCAGTGCTTTCCAACCTCTTTTACACATGGTGTTCATCAGATCTTGCTTCACTCAGTCTTTCTGGCTGTCCCAAGGGCCAAGGGAATCAATATCTGTATAGTCCACAGTGTTCTCTTTATGAGAACTGAAGAGTGTAATTTCTCTCAGGCTTCAGAACCAGAAATTGGTGTACATCTGCTGAGAAACTCATCTGTTTTCATTGGATGGATACTGAATTGGTATCTGATTACATTCCCCTCTTTACCCTGACTGCTGGGAAGCTTTGGGTCAAACCTGTGGCTTATATTTGACAAAGTTCATGAGACTTTATGGCATACACTGCAGCTTTACCTTTGTTTTATTTCTCTTCTTTTTCTTTCTCTTTTAATTTTCATACTTACTTATTTTTATATTTTGTACTATATGTGTATTTGTAAACTGCCATACAGTCGTCTGGGGATTCACTTGTGCATTTGTCCATGTGTTGCTAGCCAGCTAAGCCAGATAGACAGATGCATACAAACATACTTGCCAAAGTACATTTATTTCTTCAGTAATACTGCAACATCACATTTCAACTCAGTTGCTCCTGGGAAGATTTTCTGTACAAATCATTTTTGTGGATACTGAAAATACCAATCAAGGAAAACAGTGGTTCCTATTTTGGATGTTTGTCCTCTTCCTGACCTTTTGTCTCATTAATCTATTGCCCTTGGCTGATTTTATCTTTGGGTCTGTAGCCCTGTAGCTCTTTTATACCTCTCCCTCCTTTAGGGTCTTCAAATTGAGCTATTTAAATGATTTGATTTAGCTGTTGGTAATATAACACTTGAGAGTTTGGAAAATAAGTGAGGGTTCATTGCCTAGGATTTTGGTAGTATTGCACATTCTTTTTGTGTCACTGTAGAACAGCGTAGAAACTGTAGAAATATGATATTGTAGAAAATTCCTGATCTTTTTATTCCAGAAACTTGGCTTTATCACTAATAGGTATAAGATTTTTGGTAAATTTCTTAATCTCCCTCTTTCATTTTCTTTCTTTTTTTTTTTAGATTTAAAAATGACTGTATCTGTGTTATTCAGTCTTACAGATTGTTGTGAGAATAAATATGATAGTGATCCATATGACAATACTTTTTAAGCTTTATAAAATGGTATTTTTTCATTCTTTTTGATTTTGGGGAAACAGAATATATTATTAGGGTTTGAAGCTGTTGCCTCAAGTATTTTCTGGGTAGCGGTGTGGCAAGTTTGATATTTCCAAAGCTTTGAGGACAAATCACTTTTTTCTTCTATATATTGCCATGTTTAACAACCTATGCTTTGATGTTTCTTCCTCGCATTAATCTTATCAGTTGGCTTACTTACAATTTTAAAATCTATCCAAATGATTTTAGAATATTTACTTCTTGTAAAATTTATTATGATATGAGCAGTGATGAAGGATGGCATTGCTTTTCTGGAGACTTAAAGACAAGTGATTTCTTACAAAATCAAATTTTAGTAACTGTCATGCAGAAGAGGGCATTCCTTTCCATAAAAAAAGAGACCAATTCCCTCTAGCTAAACCTCAGGAAATTTTATCTAATTAAGTGAAATGTATCAGAAAAATATAAATTTAGAAAGGAGGAAGATTTAGAATGTATTTTATTAGTCCATTCATCTTAATGCATGGGGGAACTGGGCCATGAAAGACTTATGAGACTTCTCCATAGGTGCTCATCTCTTTCTAGAAAAGGAAAATAATAAATACTTGCATAGCATTAACTATAAGCCAGGCACCATTCTAAATGATTTACATACGTTAACTCTTTTAATACTCCTGAAACCCCTTAAGGTATTATGATAGCCAGCTTTCAAAATGATGCCCGGTGATCTCCACATCGTGGTCCTCATGCTCCTGTATAGTTCCCTTATGTATTGAAGAGGGTTGACTTACGTAACCAATAGGATAGTGAATAAATGATGATGTGTGACTTGGTCATAAAAGATATTGTGGCTTCCACTTTGTTTTCCTGTATTTCTTATTCTGGGGGTAGCTAGCCACTGTATCTTGAGAATGCTTAAGAGGCTTATAGAGAAACCCACATGGGAAGGAATTGAAACCTTCAGCCAACAATGTTAGAGCCATCTTTGAAATGGATCCTGTTCCCTCCGTTGAGCCTTCAGAAGACTGCAGCTTTGGCTGCCATCTTGACTGAGGCCTCAAGAGAGACCCCAGATCAAAATACACAAGCTAAGTCATTACTGAATTCTTGACCATGGATACTGTGAGATAATGGGTGCTTATTGTTAAGCCTTAAGTTTTGGGGAGTTGGTTATGCAGCAGTAATACGAAGTACAGATTTTGGTACCTGAAAAGTGCGATTCTAACATAAGAAATACTTTAAAGTATTGGAGTGGTTCTGGAACTGAATAAAGGACAGATGTTGGTGAAAGCTAAAATACCTTGAACAGACTATTAGTGGAAGCCTCATGGTCTTTAAGAAGACTGCTGGCAAGGAATTGGAGAGTGAGGTGAGGCCAATGCTATTGGAAAGTGTTCCATAGCAGTAATTAAGTAATGTAGGTAGGTATTCAGTCCTGGTATCCAGTATGGGTAAGTTCAAAGTTACAGGATCAGCTGCAGGTATGCAACTTTTTATTTCTGTAGTAGTTTAATCTACCACAGTAGTTTTTAATTAGTCATTTAATTAGTTATTTTAATTAGCTGTTTAATTAGTTAAATTGGCTAGTTATTTTAAATTAGTTTTCACCATATTTTTGGGAAATACATTCTTGTTTGACAGTGTCAGGTTCCTAAGGATTGGTCATAACTGAACTAGGCTTAAGTGTCTCCTCAAGTGGATAAAGCAAACAGTGAAGACTTACAGCTTATGATGGAGCTGAGTAACAAGACTGCATAACCTATCTTTTAGAGGTTTAGAACTGTGTGCAAGATAATTGGCAAACGCTTCAAGTGTTTACATAGTATAGAAAACGAACATGGAATAACAAAAGGTTTAGGTGTAGCGTCGTGAAACCTAACTTCTAGGGTTGATTCCCAACTGTGTTATGTCCTAGCTGTGTGACCTTGTGCCTGTGAGTCCTGATCTACAAAATGGAGATGATAATAGCTTGTAGGTAGGATGAAGATGAAATGAGTTGATTCATCATGTAAAGCCCTTAAGGACAGTGCCTGGCTTCTATTAAATACTTTTTAAGTGATATCAGTTCATACTAGCATAAGTTGTTATATATGCTTTTAGTTAGCTCTTGGTAGAGGATTTCTCATAACCAGCAGCAACATGAAAACTAGGCTAATCTCATCTTTGATTTTCATAACCATTACTGTATGTTAAAGTATTTCATACATTTTGAACTTGGCATAATCACGTGTGTACATTAGGAAAAAAATGTAAACCTACCAGCCAACAAAATAATGTTATTGGTGTATGTTGTGATTTCTTTCAAAATTAAATGTTATCTTGAAGTTTTCATTTGTAATTAAAGTAACTTGTAATTTTTGAAAGTCTTACAGCAGTGCTGTTAGAATTTTTTTATTAGAGTCATTTCCATTGGTATTTTAATGCTTATTTCTTGGTAATTTATGAACTACTGAAATATGATTACTGTATAGTTTACATTTGCTTAAAAATTAGGCTTCCTTTCCTGAGAACAAAATTTAATTTTAAAATTGAAGTATATAATAAAAAAGTAGAGATTAAAGTGACTTTTATTATGAAAACATTGAAATATGTTTTTTGCTTATATTTAAATACTGTTGTGCTTTTGAAAAATTCATTATACTTTAAATAAAGAAGTCAGAGTGCAACTATGCATGACTCAGGAGCTCTGGAAAATTAACTTAGTTTGAGATGGATTTAAAAAATTTACTGCCATAGTTTTCTTGTCCATCATTTTTCTTATCTCTTTCTAATTTATGTTATCTTATTATACCATGTACATTTTTATAAGCCTTAGAATCGAATTGGAAATCATTAGATAGTAAATAGACATATGGGAAGGTAGTTTTTCATGGGTTTGGGTTATGTAGAACAGTGATTTAAAGTAATAATGAAAAATACTTTGTTTTGAAGTATCTATATTTGTAGGTTGTATGGGGAAGAGAAATTTGAAAAACAGTTTAAATTACATTTACCAACTTGGTAAGATAAATGGATCTGATACTGAATTTTAACATCAAATCAATTTTAAATAAATCATTTTTTCCATATATCTTGAGATTGACACTTGACAAGATTTCAGAGGTCACCATAACTGAAGCATCTGAAGATGATTATGAATATGAAGAGGTAATTTTTTCATTTTAGGTATTTAGTCTGTAAATTCACTAGTCATTCTTATGAAACCTTCCTTTTATTTTATATTTTGTTTTCCTGAGAGATGCTAGTTTTTCAACTGAATTACCTAATACCAGCTATTTAAGAGTGAAATGTGAAAGTTCTGTTTGGGAGTTTGGATTGGTTAAGGCATCTGGCTCTTTTGGTTTTCCTGTTAGCTGTGTTTCAAAGGTAGCTCCTTCTCCCTTGCTTTGTAGGTCCTTACTCTAGACTGTTGTCTCTGTCCAGCAGGCACTCCCTAATATCCATTTTGCTCTTGGATGGGTTTCCTAGAGTTCCACTACTGGCTGCAACTCAGATCCCATGCTTCCTTTCAGCTTAACTGTAATTCTGTGTAGTGTAGTTCCTGTCTTAAATCTTCCCTTTAATTCACTGTTCAGATGGGACCTATCATTACTTCCGAGACTTGGTGCATAGAGTCGCTCCTAGGTGACAGACATAGTAAGTACAACTGTGGAAGCAAGCCAGGCACTTTGTGGCCTGGGCAAGTAAAAGACAGAACAAACAGTAGATAAACTTTTTATTAGTAGTAGTTAAATAGAGATAATATGAATATGTGCCACATGAAATTACTGAAGGTTTCAGATAAAAGGCATAGAACTGATCAGCACATAAGAAGCACGTGCTAAGTGTTACCTATCATTAATGTCATAGTCAATTGCATTCTTCCAAGAGCCTAACATCTAGGCAGTGAGTTTTATTTTATTTTTTTTAATAAACTAAAGATTGGCAGTTGCTAGTATTTATGAAAAAGAAGTGGCCTTACATTTTTTCAAAGCAGAGTTGTTAGACTACATTTGTCTTTATATATAAAAGCGAATACCCATAAGCTGATCTTGATCTTATCAGAGGTGACATTGAGTGATGTTTACAAGGAAGTCAGAAAGCCTCCTGCTTGTTAGTTATTCATTTGTCAGAGAACTTCAGAATGACATGGTGTCTTACATAGGTGTGTTTTTTTGATTCATTGTTTTGTGAGAAAAATTATTTCTGAAATGAAGTAAAGTGTTTTTATCGTCCTGCTTGCTCTTCCTGTCCTTTATCTCTTTGATTTAGATACCAGATGACAATGTTAGCATTCCAGAAGGTGAAGAAGATCTAGCAAAAGCAATTCAGATGGTCCAGGAACAGGCTACAGATACTCAGATTTTGGTGAGAATTGAACACAACCTATTGTTTGTGTAGTTTGAACACAATCTATAGTTTAGCAGTGAGACTTGAAGTTTTACTGGGTGAACTTAAGTTTTACATAGTAAATGCTGTCCTATCACTTGTTATGCCTTTTTCTCTTCTGTGTCTTTATCATTACACCTTCACTTTATTTATTTTTTTAAATTTTTAAAAATTTTATTGTGTTATGTTAATCACCATACATCACATCATTAGTTTTGGATGTAGTGTTCCATGATATATTTTTTGCGCATAACACCCAGTGCTCCATGCAGAACGTGCCCTCTTCAGTACCCATCACCAGGCTGACCCGTCCCCCCACCCCCTCCCCTCTAGAACCCTCAGTTTGTTACCCCAAAGATACAAATATGGTGATCCGAAGGGGTACGTACACCTTCACTTTAAGTAAGTAGTCATATTTATTCTTTTTTGGATTGTCATTTTCTACATCATGGTTACTCTTGCATAACTTCACAACAAATGACACCTTCCTTCAGAACTCTGCTTATTTAATCTCACTGGATATTAAACCAAGGATTTTTAACACTAATGTACAGAATTTGTTATTGGATACAGATACTAAAATGTGTTTTGTAACACATTAAATAAAAAGAAAAATAATAGTCTCTCTTTCCTCCCTTTCCTCCTGTATTCCCAATTCCTTCAACTGTCATCCATCTCATTCTAAATATCATATTCAAATTTATTGACCAAAAATGCCAAGGTAGCATTTATTATTGTGTAATGAATATTTACTTCCAGCCATATTATACCCTTATCAAGCAATTATATGTAATCTTCCACCATAATTCAGACTTGAAGGCAGGGATGCTGTATTCTGCTACCCTGGCATCTTCCATGTTTGATATAGGGTCCTGCACATAATCAACATTGTTATATAATCTTTTACGATGACCTTAGGAGGGGCGCCTGGGTGGCTCAGTCAGTTAAGCGCCTGCCTTCGGCTCAGGTCATGATCCCAGGGTCCTGAGATCTAGTCCCACATTGGGCTCCTTGCTCAGTGGGGAGCCTGCTTCTCCCTTTGCCTGCCTCTCTCTCTCTCTCCCCCCCACCACTCTCTGACAAATAAATAAATAAAAATCTTTAAAATTAAATGACCTTAGGGAAGATATTCCAAATTATCTTGCTTGAGTGTTAAAATTTCATTTTAAAACCCTAGTCATTTGTCAGGAAATTTCGGTAGCCTCCCAAATTTGCTTCATCTGATCATTGTTTTGAATGTTATAGCAGCTACTAATAATTAAGATCAGCATTAAATTATGTATAGCACTTTTGAGAAGAACTTTTTAGGGCAAAAGAGATTCTTTCCTTACTGCCTTTCTGTGTAACTATTGCCAGGTATGTAACATTTACCTGGTCTGTAACCATTACCATGTTAAGAAGGGGAAGGAGGAAAGAAAGTCTGCTGTTGAGTTTATATGAAAATAGATCTGTCTGTCGAAATGATCAGTGGTTAGATTGGTAAGTTCTTGCCAATGAGAAGAAAATGAATGCACTCTGGAAACGATGCTTTGATATTTTTAAGTGTCTACCCATTATTTGACTTATTTTATACATTGACTTATGGTAGTTTTATGGCTGTCCTAATTTCATATCTCACTTGCTGAAATATCTCCACTTTTCTAGTTCAGGGGTCTGCAAACTTGTTCTCTGGGGTCATATAGTAAATATTTTAGATTTTGAAGACCGTAAGATGTCTGTTGCAACTCACTTCTCTCATGTAGTATGAAAGCAGCCATAGACAATATGTAAGCAAATGGGCATGGCTGTGTTGTAATAAACTTTATTTACACAGTTAGCTGACCCCGATATAGCTGATAGACTTCCATTATGAAATGGTAGGATAAGCCACTCCATAGCACAGAAGAAAGCACATAATTCTTCTGTATCATAGTGTTTCTAAAGCTTAAGGCACCAAAATTCATTATATTTCTTTTTATAATGATAATAATTGAAAGAATTTAAAGGTCCATACTTTTTTTTTCTTTTTTTTAATGTGTTCTATGCTATTGAAAGGACAAGCTGATCTTATTGTTCTTTAGATAATCTAGTCACACTCTTACATCAAGGTCTTTGTATTTGTTGATGCTATAACTGAAACATGATTCTTTCTGTAGATTTATGCTCAGATTCCACTTTATCAGTGAAATCTTCCTTCATTACCCTACATATATAGCAGCCCAGCTCCACACACATATCTGCCCTACATTTGGCTCTCTCTCCCTTCAGTCCTCTGCTTTTTTTCTCCCAGGCACTTAGGACCATCTGCCATATTGTATATTTTTAATTTAGTTATTCATTTTCTTTCTCCATCTACTTGACTATTAGATATGAAAACCAAGTTTTATCTAGTGTATAAATTCATTACTGCTTTATCCCTAGTAATTAAAATAGTCCCTGGAACATAACACTCAACAAAAATAGATGAAAAAATGAACAAGTGAATGAATAAATGAACAGCTTATTTGTACCAATAATCAAAGCTTAGTGATGATTTTATATTTTCAAAATAAATAATTGCACATTTAAATTTCAGGAACAGAAAACAGTCCTTCCTTCAAAGCAACCAACACCTGAAGTGATAGAAGACTTTCTCTGCAATTTCCTAATCAAAATGGGAATGACCAGAACTCTCGATTGCTTTCAGTCTGAATGGTAAACAATTAATTTGGATAAATAGTTACCTAGGGATGCTAACATGTACACTTTTAACTGTCTTAAAGGACTTGAAGTTGCTCATCTTATACAAAATGGATGAAATGGATGGAAGCCTTTCCCATCCCTACCACACACACACACACACACACACACACACACACACTCTCTCTCTCTCTCTCTCTCTCTCTCTCTCTCTCTCTCTCACATAATTAAGATATCAATGTAAGAGAAGTTTTTATTAAAAATACTTTCTAAATATTCAAATCTGAGTGATTTTCAAAAATCAAGAAAATGGAATATCTCCCAGGATCACATAATACAAAGCTCTTTTATGAAATGCTTTTCTAATATATTCTGCATGATTATTAAGGGTAATATTTCCTGCATTAAGACATCCTACCAAGATTACTACTTCATTTGTTTTACTTCTAGTGTAATGGCCTGCCTTTCTCTACTCACACAACTGATTGATTCTTTTTCTATAAATATTTCTTCATTTAGAAATAAGCAGAATTGTGGTGCCTGGGTGGCTCAGTGGTTAAGCGTCTGCCTTCAGCTCAGGTCATGATCCCAGGGTCCTGGGATTGAGCCCCGCATTGGGCTCCCTGCTCAGCGGGAAGCCTGCTTCTCCCTCTCCTGCTCCCTCTGCTTGTGTTCCCACTCTCACTGTCTTTCTCTCTGTCAAATAAACAAAATCTTAAAAAAAGAAATAAGCAGAATTATATTTTCAAATGATGCCTAAACACAGATTTTCTTGTTATAATTGAAAATTTTAATAACTTATTGGTTATGAAAATCAGCATGTGGCGCCTGGGTGGCTCAGTTGGTTAAGCGACTGCCTTCGGCTCAGGTCATGATCTCAGGGTCCTGGGATCGAGCCCCGCATCAGGCTCCCTGCTTGGCGGGAAGCTTGCTTCTCCCTCTCTCACTCCCCCTGCTTGTGTTCCCTCTCTCGCTGTCTCTCTGTCTGTCAAATAAATAAATAAAATCTTAAAAAAAAAAAAAATCAGCAGGCATGCTGTCTTTATTTCTTTACAATGGTAGTAATGTCAGCAGGCATGTTTTCAGAGGCCCAACATTCCTTAATGAAATATTATTTAGTAATTGGATATAAAAATATGTTTGAGCCATTTTAAAAGCCATTCCATATCATGGGAAGGGAATAGTATGATACAGAAACATGTTTGTAGTGTTTTGGGACTAAATCCTAATTTTAAATATAAGGAGCAATTTGTAATTACTACTAATCCGACTGTGATGTAATTTTTATTTGCTGCTCTTTTTGGTTCTCATCTACCGAGACCATGTACATAGACGAAATCACTTTTATTACTTTAAATTGCATATCTAAAGTTAATAAATTTAATGAAGAGAACCGTTTTTCATTAATACAGTTTAGGAAAAAAACAAGTTTGATGGTAGTAAAATAATAGTGTTCCTATTAAATTTGGAAATTGCGTGAATGATTTTTATAAAAATGTCCCTAAGAAATAATTACAAATGTATTAGAAAATACATTTTTGTAAAAGTAGGTAGATGATTAATTTACAATACTAATGAAATGAAAAATTAATGTGGCTCAGTTCCTTTTTTCTTCTAAGAAGGTGTGTTAGGACATGTAGTACTCACATGTTTGTCCAGCCCAAAGTGTGAAATGATCATCCCATCGAGAAATCTGGAACCAAGTACACTCTTAACAATTAAGTGCTTGTTGTACCATGTTATCCTTTTAGATTTAGCAGTTTGAATTGAGATGAAATTTCAGGAAGCTATAATAGTATTAGGACTTATGGAACCCCTATATAAGCATGCCACTTAGTATATTACAATAGTTTTAAAGTAAAGTTCATATATCTCTTTATTATGTGGGTTTAGTAATACTGTGGTTCAAATGATTGTATCCTTGTCCCTAGCTGCTCGCTTGTTATAAACCTACAAACCGTTTGTAATAAGATTACACAGTACTGAGTATTTTTATTTCACATGAAACATTTTTTTTTTAAAGATTTATTTATTTTGAGAGAGTGAGAATGAGAGAGAGAGAGTACATGAGAGGGGGGAGGGTTAGAGGGAGAAGCAGGCTCCTCGCTGAGCAGGGAGCCCGATGCGGGACTCGATCCCGGGACTCCAGGATCATGACCTGAGCCGAAGGCAGTCGCTTAACCAACTGAGCCACCCAGGCGCCCTCACACGAAACATTTTTTACTTTGATCCAAAAGCTTTGCTTATTCTGCATAGTAGGACAATAGGAATATCAAATATATTTTTTTATCATTTTTTATTATGGAGAAAAACATTTATAGTATTCATTGCTACGAATTCATTTAATCTTACAAAAGTTGACAAATAAGTTTTCCCATTGCTAGTTTGTAAAACAAAAACCTCAAAGTTACCAAAAAACCTGGGCAGTAAAATTGGACTTGTTGTCTTTCAATCTTCAAACAGTAATTGCAGTAAATTCTTTAAATCTAAGGTCAGCAAACAAATCTGGCCTGCCTCTGTTTTTTAAATAAAATTTTGTTAGCACATAGCCATAATCTTTCTTTTAGGTATTATCTATGCTGCTTTCATGCTATAACAGCAAAGTTAGTCAGTCACAGTGGAGACCATATAGCCCAGAAAGGTTTTTTTTTTTTTTTTTAAATTCTAAAATATTTTCTGTATGTTTTCAAAAAAAAAAAAAAAAAAGATTTTGTGTGTGTGTGTGTGAATGTAGTAGGAGTTTTTTCAATGAACCATAAGAAAGTCTGCACTGTGGGTTAGCAGTAGCTAACAGAATTTTGTCTTTGTTGGTGAAGTATTTTCTTAACTCTCTCTGAAAACATGGAGGAAAAATTCTCATTTGATATTTGTTATTATCTAGGTGATTGTTTTTCTGTCTTTTATATCCTATGCCTTGGGTGCCATCAGGAAGGAAAAATAACCCTTACTCTTATGATGCTTGATGTGTTTACTGAAATTCTCTCATGCTATTTGTCATTTGTGACAGTGGGCCTTAAACTCTTTTGGTATATAAACAAATATTATGAAAGCCTTTGTACTTTCTCCTTGAAATATGTGTATTTTCTGTTTCTATATAATTCTAAGTAGTTTATGGACCTTATGGTAAAAATGAATACCATTAATGTAATTTTATTGGCAGGTCTGTTGGTAGTAAATTTTATTTCCTGTTCCTAATAGTTATGTAACAATCTTTTTCCCATTTGAACACTTTTCAGTCTTATTCTAAGTGTGAGTGAATAAAGAGGAAGAAATAAAAAGGCCAGGATATTTCTTTAACACATACACACATGAAACAAAACCAAAAAATCTTATGTAGAAAATGCTGGTTTTACTGAGAAATGTATTAATGTATTTCTGGAGTTTGTCGATTGATTCCTAATTATCTAATAGTATTAGAATAGTTTTAGTGAGTTTGAAGTCATCTTTGCTATTTTTACATAGATTACAGAAATTTTTCTTGATAAATTATTTTTCAGTATCCTCAGATATATGTGATATAGTATGTGATATGTTGTATTATGCTTGATTTGTATTTATTTTACCACATATTAGTTTATTTACGTAGCATTTAATTTAGAGAAGGACTACATACCACTTTTTTCTTATCAAAATAATTTCTTTGGTGATTTTTTTCTTAAATAAAGCAAGTTGCTGAAAACCAATTTTATGGTCAGAAGAACTTTATGGTCTAATACTTTAATCAATCCTTACATCTTCTCTTTTGAGATAAGTATAAATCACATTCTACATATGAATATAATAGTGAATTTATGATTAAATGTTTATCTATTTGTTATATAAATTGTGGCAAATATTACTTAATATTGATTCTATTTTCTTAACATTTTGGATATTTCACAGAGCTTGTCTTGCTGTATTTTTTTTAATATCAGATAAGATATATAACACAACCATATGGATATTAATGTGTAATATATTAATAAAATTAAGATTTATAATATGAAAATGCTGATAATTAAACATTTTTAAAGAAATGTTTAGCTCATCTATAGCAAACTCTGTAGGGATTTCTTTGTTAATAACTTCTTTACTGAAATGTTTTTCTATGTTTGTACTGTTTTTTATTTAGTTTTATTGCTATATATATATATATATCATTAAAATTATAATTATTTACAAATCTGTTAATGATTCTCTGATGTTCCTTCTTAATTCACTGAGAAAATGGAAGTTCTGTGACTCCTGCCTCCCTCTCTACTAACCTGCCACCTCTGTTCTCTGGCCTCCTTCTCCATATGTGTCACAGAGGCTGAGCCATGCATGCTGTCATCTAAGGCCAACCCTCCAGTTGTCTCCTGGAGCCCAGCTCCTCTTACCTACTCAAGGACATTGCTTTGGCAGTTGTCCTCTCTCTCTCTTTTTCTGCACTCTAAGCTTTTTCTCTCCCTGCTGGATCATTCCCGTAAGCATACAGATGTACAATATTTCATATATTTTTTAAAAAGGCAGAAGACAAAAAAACACCCTGAATGCCACATCCTCTTTTAAGTTCATCTTAGATTTCCTATGCTTCACTTTATCATGTCTCCTTGAAAGAGTATGTTGCCACTTCCTTATGTCCTACTTTTATACCTACTCTGATGGCACTATCATCTCCATGACTCTACTAAAAGTTTTTTCAGTGCTGCACATTGCCAAATTCAGCGACTGATCCTTAGTACTCCCCCTATTCATCCTGTATGCAGCATTTATCACTGTTGTTCATTTCTTCCTTTTCGGAACACTTTATTTACTTGGTTCCTGAGCCACAGTGCTCTCATATTCACTCACTACTTCACTATCCCTTCTCATTCTTAGTCTCTATTTGTTAGTATTTCCTTATCTTCCCAGTCTTGAAACAGTTCAGGAACTTCACTTCTCTCTTTACTTCACTTCCTAGATGGCCTTGTCTAGTCTTCCCCAATTTGAATTCCAAGTCCTGACCTTTTCCCTGATCTCTGGACATGTATACCCAGTATTCATCTTCACTTGATTACCTGGTAGACATATTGCATGGAACAAATCCTTAACTTCTCCAATCACCCAAGTCCTACTGCATTCATTCCCATCTTTGTAAATGGGTGGCTGTTCTACCAGAAACCTTGGAGTCATCTTTGACCTCTTTTATTAACCAACTCTTGGCAGATGATTCATACGAAAATCTTCATTGGCTCCACCTTTATAGCATGTCCAAAAGGGACATATTTCTCATAATCTCTGCTGCTACCAATGTTGTTCATGCCACCATTCTCTCTCTTTTGGACTACTGCAACAGCCTGCAGACTAGTCTCTTTGATTCTACTCTTGCTCCTCTAGAGTCAGTTTCTTCAAGTAGATGCCAGACTAATCTTTTTTTAAAGTTTCGTGTTTTTTTTTTTAAAGGTTTTATTTATTTATTTGACAGAGAGAGCACAAGCAGGCAGAGTGGCAGGCAGAGGGAGAGGGAGAAGCAGGCTCCCCACTGAGCAGGGAGCCCGATACGGGACTCGATCCTGGGACCCTGGGATTATGACCTGAGTCGAAGGCAGACGCTTAACCGACTGACACCGACGCCCCTTTTTTTTTATTTATTTATTTTAAAATTTAGGTAATTAACATACAGTGTAATGTTGCTTTCTGGAGTAGAATTTAGTGATTCATCACTTACACGCAACACCCAATGCTCATCGTAAGTGCCCTCCTTAATACCTGTCACCCATCTACCTATCCCCCCACCTCCCTCCAACAGACTAATCCTTTTAAAGCAAATCTGACCAGTATCACTTGTTTCTCAAAAGCCTTCCAATGGCTTCAGTCTGATTCAGGTAAAACCACATTCCTTTCTCCTGCTTCCTGCTGTCTTCCTGACCCATTTCTTACCACTCTCTCCCTTCCTCCAGCTCCAGATACTCCAGATATATAGGATTTTTGCTTTTAATTGTACATGTCATACACTTCCTCTTTTCCGGGTCTTTACATTTACTTTTCTCTTAACCAAGAATGCTCCTCTCCTTCATGTCCCCATGACTTGGTTCCTTATTTCTTTCATTTCTCTGCTCAAATAGCACTTTGCCAGTCATACTTTCTGTGCTCAGCCTATATAAAATAGCACAAATGCCCCCATCACTCTTCACTTCGGTCTCCCCCTCTGATCCTGCTTTATTTTACTTCATAGAACATAGTCACTCTCCACACTAGAATGGACGGGGACTTGGGCTGTTTTGTTAATTTTACTAATGTCTAGATTAGTGCCTGGAACATACGAGATGTTTGGTTATATTTTATGTACCATGATGATATTAGTACCTAGCAATGATTTTTTTTTAATTTTAAATATATATTATGAATTTTGACATTTTAATTTACAAAAGTAACACCACAACCTCATTTCTATAAATATCCCCTAGGACTTAACTTTTTGAATTGTACATAAATTAAGCCAATTTAGTAGAAAGAAACAACATTAAGCCTTTTGTTTGATTTTACCCTAGGTATGAGTTAATACAGAAGGGAGTAATTGAACTTAGAGATATTGGGAGTGTTCCAGATGTCTACACGCAGAATATGCTTTTAGAAAATGAGAACAAAAATTTGAAGAAAGACTTGAAACACTACAAACAGGCAGCTGAGTATGTTGCTTTTTAAATGACTTTTTTTTTCTTTTGGACTAAATAGAAGAGTTGAATGAAGGTAACTGTGGTTAATGTACCAGAGCTTTAATTCTGAATTGAATTATATTTAAATTCTAGTTGGAAAGAATGTGAAAGGCTTCGGTAGCAAATTAATTGAACAGATGATCAGAACTCTCACAATTGCAACGCACCAGGAAAAGTGGAATCCGGGGAGTTGTATAGGAGATGGTTAATTTGTTATGTAACACTTACTTTCTTCTGGTTTTGATAATCTTTTCATGGTTTGTGGAAATCTTCCCCTATGAGGATAAGCTAATTTCTGAAATAATAATAAAATTATAGAAAACAGAGGAAGGGAGGAGCTAGTGTATTCATAGTTAGAGGAATTTTGGTGTTTGAAAATTCCCCATAGGAAATTGTTATTTCATCATCTCCTAGCATGAATTCATGCATAGAAGAGAAACTTAACAGAAGCCTAATCTTTCTTTCTGAAATTAATGGAAGACGTAGTTTTTGGCGAACAAATTTAGATAAACACTGTTATTCTTGCATAGACAAATATGTGGATGTGTTGACTAGGGATGAGTCTACTCATCTAAGACAATGTTAGATGGAAAATCAATGCTTAGATATGGAGTAGAGAAAGTTCATGCTTTGTTCATTATTTTTTATTAAACATACTTAAAGAGTGGTTTTTTCTGTTAAAGAATCATATTAAGACAAAAAATTAGCTAAGCAGAACTACCATACAAGAACATAATATTTTTGAGGTCTTTGTAAAAACGTTTAATGTAAAGAAACAGGACTTTGTATTGCAAAGTGAAGGAAAATTTAAAAACTCCTACTTTTAAAAGGTGGTGGTAAATAAAAGATAATTTGTAAGATCATTTATTCACTTATTACTCAGAAATGTTTTTGCAAATTATACAAGTTTCATATTATCTATGGGTGTACTGTTTAACATTTTACATTTTAGAAAGAAGTGTATGATGATCCATGGAATGATAAGTTACTAGACCCAGCATTCTCTCTATTCTCAGTTCATTTCTCAGAAGTGGTGTTTGCACCATTGGCCCTGATGCTCACTGTGATATTGTATAGACACCTAATGGATGCACTGGGAATTTGACACAGCAAATTTTTCAGAGTGCTGTCTGGCATACTGTTTCAGTTCCTGATCTTCTTTGAATTATTGCTTGAGTTTGCTAATTTTCTTTTGAATAGATAGAGCCTCTTTTTGCAATGAGTTTTGCCATACTGACATTAAATAATCATTGTTGATTACTGGTTGTTTATTTAATATTATATTTAATAACTAATCAAAATCATATAAACTATTACCTATGCAAATTATTATCCCATAATTAAAACAGATATCACTGAAATGAAATCTGATTCTTATTTGTGTTTACTAAACTATCAGATTACTAAATGTATATAAAGTTTACTATATTAAAATACAGTTTTAGTTTCAAAAGTTATGATTATTATGTCTTAAATATATCTTATTTGATATAATTAAATTTTAACAGATTAGAAAAGGAAAATATTTATTTGCTTTAATCTCCTTGACATGGAAAATTTGAAGGAAAGATGCTTGACCCTTAGTAGGTACCTACTATTTATATCATTAAATGAATATTAAGCACATCGGGCTCTCATGACACCTTTTGGTGAAACATATCTCTAGAGCCTGATTCTGTTGGATACATTTTCGAAAATGAAGAATGAAGTTTTGTAAAATATTACCAAAACTACTTTTGTCATGCTATAAGTTTGCCCTACACTGTAATGTTTTATCGCACAGGTTTTTCAATTTGACTTTTGAAGATATTTTTCAAATAGGGATTAGTAATAAACATGGGATTCCTTTTATAGAATTTACCATAAGGTTTTCCTTTTCGGGATTAAGACTGTTTCTTCAAGCAAGATAAGTGTAGATGTTAAGTACTTTTCTAACAATAACCAATATTTAGTATGTAAAAAGAGTGAGGTTTACAGATATGTTATATATTGTCCTGATTATACTGGTAGCATTTAATGATGTAGCTAGAAAAATCAGAGAAATCATATAGCTATAAGCTTAATATTTATCTAGAGAAGAGAATTGCCATGGAAAGAGTACTGAACTTAAGGTTCAAATACCTAGCTTCCAATATTCTGCTACTTATCAACTCAGTTTTCTTATTGTTAAACTGGGAGTAATTATACACACTATTAACTCCTAGGGAGTGATGTGATAATTAAATAAGACAATCTATATTAAAGAGCTGTGTAAATCACAAAGTGCTTTGAAAATGTCAGCTATTATTATCAATATCTCTAAAGGCTGTCATCCTTGGATTTTTTTTAGTCATCACATCATTAATATTTTCGAAATTCAGCAATGATGAAGCATAAAGGAAGACATGAAAAGGGAAATATTTCACTCTAAATTTAATTTGAATTGCTATAATTAAAAAAAAATGGTCCTTTTCTCTTTTGTAAGCAATGCCTATTTTAGAACAGAGGTTTTCCTTATCTTGCTACTAGTGTGATTATCTTATCTAAAATATAGTTTCATGTATGATATGTGTATGCATGTATGGTATGGATGTTAACCATACTTATTGTGTTCGTTTTGCACTATATGAATGTTGAGTCATTATGTACTTGAAACTGGTACAACATTGTAAGTAAATTATACCTTGATAAAAAAGAAAGTTTTAGAAATAAATGTTTGGAAAATTTCCTTATACATAGATGATTTAAGGGAAAGAATGTACTATTAAAAAGTGTTTATAGTTACTTTGAATGTAAAAGTATATACTAGATACTGGAGAGGAATAATATAGGTAGTAGTTTGATAATCTTTTTTTTTCTAAAGTGTATTAATTAAAAAATGTTTATATACTGTTAAATATGCAGATTTTAAGTGTACAGTTCAATCTGTTTTGATTAACATATATACCCATGTAGTCACTAAGCCAAATCAAATATATAGAACATTTCCATCACCCCAGAAAGTTTTCCTGTACCTGTTTCCTTAGGCAATTATTGTTGTGATTTCTATCACCATATATTGGTTTAACTCAGTCTTGAAGTTCTTTTGAAAGGAATCATACAATATGTACTCTTTTCTGTCTGCCTTCTTTCACTTAAGGTTTTTGAGATTCATCCATAGTTTTGGTATATCCATAGTTCATTTTTTTATTATTGAATAGTATTGCATTATGTGAATACACCACAATTTGTCTATTCATATTTCTTTTGATGGAAATTCGGGTTGTGTCAAGTTTCTGCTTAATATATGATACAATTATGACATTCGTGTGTAAGACTTTTTATAGACACATAATTTCATTTCCCTTGGGTCATGGGGTAGTTCCATAAAAACTGCCAAACTGTTTTCCAGAATGGTTTCCAAGTTTGATAAACAGTTACAGAATATAACTGTACTTTTATAATAAAATGCAGACCATTTGTCATTTTATTTATCTATTTTTTATTGTACATACATTGGAATACTCAATTTTACTTATTTTTTAATCTTTTTAATACTCAATTTTAAAATTAAGGTCATAGTAGATAAACATGTGAAAATCCATTTTTGGAAACTTTTGACCAATTATGCAATCAATTAAGTTCCCATAAAAATTTATTTCTGAATTACACATTTGTTTGTAATTTGGTCATTGTGACCACTTCAGACACGTTAAAGAATAGGCAAAACATCCAATGCACTTACAAAATTACTACTGTATACTTAAATGTATTTTGAAACTCAACATCCTGAATTTAATTCACTTTCTCATTTTCTTGACCTCTGCTTCAATAATTCTTATATTTAGAATAACACCTGTTTTTGATATTCCCCAATGGTTTCCTAATGTTATTTTTTATTAAGTTTTTATTTTAATTCCAGTATAGTTAATGTACAGTGTTATATTAATTTCGGGTGTATAATATTGTGATTCAACAGTTCTATAAACCATAACTCAGTCTTCGTCATGATAAGTGTACTCTTAATCTTCTTCACCTATTTACTCATTCACCCACCCCCCTGCCTTCTGATATGCTTTATTTTAAATGAGTTTCCTCAGTTAAAGTAATTATTATTATTTTTCAACAAGAACATTTTTTACTTGAAGCATACTTCAGAATACATGGTTCTAAGAATATATATGTGTGTATATATATATATATAAAACATTCCTTCAAGAAAAATAGAATACACATTTTCTTCAAGTACACATGTAAAAAGAGACATAACAAATAACACAAATTTAAGAAGACTGAAATAATGCCAAGTATATTTTCCAACCACAATGGTACAAAGCTAAAGATCAACAATAAAACAAAATCTACAATGTTAAGTATTAAATATTTAATATGTAAATATTAAACACCCTACTGCACAAGCAGTGGGCCAAATAAGAAAACAAATGGCACATCAAAATATGTCTCAAAACAAAAAAACCCCACAATATTCCAGAACCTATGGGATGCAACAAAAGCAGATGTTAGAGTGAAATTTATGCTATAAATGCTTGTATTAAGAGAAAAAGTTCAAATTAACAACATTACACACAAGGAACTAGAAAAAGATGATACTTAGCTGAAATTTAGTAGAGGAAGGAAATAACGAGGAAAAAATCAGAAATAAAATAGAGTCCAGAATAAACAATAACATAACATTGAAAGTAATGACCAGTTCTTCCAAAAAATAAATTAAATTGGCAATGCTTTAACATTAACTAAGTAAAAAAAAAAGAGAAGACTCAAAAACCAAAATGAGAAATGGAAGAGAAAACAATACAACAGATAACCACAGAAATATATTATGTGGTAACAGATTGCTATGAACAATTATTTGATAACAAATCAGATAACTTAGGAAAAAACCCAGATAATTTCTAAAAATGCAAAAACTATCATGATTGAATCATGAATCTTGGATCCAAGAAATAGGAAATCTTAGACCAATAACAAGAATGAAAATTGAATTAGGAATAAAAAATCTCCCAGCACAGAAATGTCCAAGACCCCATAGGTTCCATTGGTGAATTCTACCAAACATTAAAAAAAAAATGGCAATCTTTATCAAAATCTTAAAAATAATGGAATAGAGGCCAGTACTATCCTGATACTATCCTGATACCAAAGCAAGATAAAACCAATATAAGAACAAAAAAGTCTAGTTTGTCCAATATAAATATTGCTACTCCAGCTTTCTTTTGACATCCATTTGCATGATAAATGTTTCTCCACACCCTCACTTTCAATCTGCAGGTGTCTTTAGGTACAAGAACATAGGGAAAAGTATTTATTTTCTCAAATGAGCTTTAATTCATGGCTCTGGATTGCTACCTAACTAATTTTTTAAATAATTTTTATTTGAGTATAGTTGACACACACTGTTGTATTATTTTCATGTGTGCAACATAGTGATTCAACTTTTATGCTGTGCTCACCACAAATGTGGCTATCATCTGTCACCATACATCACTATTACAGTATCATTGACTGTACTCCCTATGTTGTGCCTTTTATTCCTATGACTTATTCATTCCATAACTGGAAGTCTGTATCTCCCACTTGCACCCATTTTGTCCATCCACCCCACCGCCCTTACCTCTGGCAACCATCAATTTGTTCTCTGTATTTATAGGTCTAATTCTGATTCTTGTTTCTTTATTACTTTGTTTTGTGTTTTAGATTCCACATATAAGTGACATCCTATGGTGTTTGTCTTTCTCTGAGCAATTTATTTCACTTGGCAGAATACCCTTTAGGTCCATCCATGCTGTTCCAGCTCATCCTTTCTTATGACTGTGTAATATTCCTCTGTGTGTGTGTGTGTGTGTGTGTGTGTGTGTGTGTGTGTGTGTGTGTGTGTGAGTGAGACATCTTCCTTATCCATTCATCTGTTGATGGACACTTAAGTTGCTTCCATATCTTGGCTATTGTAAATAATGCTGCAGTAAACTAGGGGTGTGTTTATCTTTTTGAATTAGTGTTTTCATTTTCTTTGGGTAAATACTCAGTAGTGGAATTAGTGGATCATGTGGTATTTCAATTTTTTATTTTTTTGAGATTCCTCCATACTGTTTTCCACAGTGGTTGTACCAATTTACATTTCTCCCAATAGTGTATGAGGGTTGTTTTTTTCTACATCCTTGCCAACACTTATTATTTCTTTTGTTTTTCATACTGCTTTCTTTCACACCTGCTTTCTGACAGGTGTAAGATGATATCTCATTGTGATTTTGATTTGCGTTTACCTGATGATTAGTGATGTAGAGCATCTTTTCACATGTCCATTCGTATGTCTTCTTGGAAAAAAGTCTATTCAGGTTCTCTGCTATTTTTAGACTGGCGTTGAGTTGTATAAGTTCTTCATATATT